TGTTACTGAGGGCCACTGAATTGTTACTTAGGGACACAGAATTGTTACTCGCGACAGACACAGAATTGTTACTCAGGGACACAGAATTGTTACTGAGGGCCACAGAAACCGTTACTTAGGGCCACATAATTGTTACTCAGGGACACAGAATTGTTTACTCAGGGCCACACAGAATTGTTACTTAGGGCCACAGAATTGTTACTCAGGGACAGCACATGACAGATTTGTTACTGAGGGACACAGAATGTGTTACTGAGGGAACCACAGAATTGTTACAGGGCCACAGAATTGTTACTCAGGGACAGGACACAGAATTGTTACTCAGGACAGACACAGATTGTTACTCAGGGACACAGAATCGCTTGAATTAAAGAGTATGTCAGGACAACATGCAGAGTAGTGGCACAGAGGAGGCAATGTTTTAGGGAGCGCGAGCAGACGTGGCAGCAGAGGAAAGGGGTCGAGGCAGCACTATTCGCAGCCAGAGGCCAGTGCTCCCGGTGTCATCCAGCGGTCGTGTCTCCACCGACAACCCTGCCGTCATCGATTGGTTGGCTCGGGTCGTCTTCCTCTTCCCAGGTCACCTCAGGACACACCATACAGCCAACGGTCGGTGGGTACGTCAGACACAACCGTTAGTTGGCATGGCCCGGGACCAAGCCCACTGAAATCACGTGTCCTCTACCTGCCCCTGTCCTTTGGTGTTCCCTCTCCACAAAGCGAAGTATCGCATGCTGTGGGCTCAGCCCCACTGTACAGTGAGGAAGAGCTAACAGAGGGCGGTCAGGAACGGGGGGAGACATCCGCCTCTTCAGCAGCCAGGCGAAGAATGTAGTGGCGAGGAGAGTGGCTCGGGTAGCCGGTCTAGAGACAGGTCTGTCTCCTGACCCACACAGCGCAGTCCGAGGGGGGCTAGTAGTGAGGGCGGAGACCCTACTTGATGATGATGCGATGAGGCTGATCGCTTAACTTGGCAGCCTCGTCGTCATCAGGCAATTTCTTCCGCATCATCAGGAGAAGAGGGTGGTGGCAGCTTGGCCAGCGAGCAAAACAGTCAGGTGGGTTGCCCAGGAGACAGCAGCAGGGTCGCTAGCAGCTCAGTGTCAGTGGAGGCAAACGGCCACGGAGATAGAGCACCAGCTCCACTGCAGCCTACCACCACGGCCAGTAGTGGTGCCGGTGTGCACGGAGGAAGCAGCAGTCAGCCAGTGAGGAGTATCGGGGGCACAAAGTTTCCTAACTCGGCGCGTGTGTGGCAATTTTTTGTCAAGCCGCCCGAGGAAGTAAACGTAGCCGTATATGTCGACTATGTGGCCAGAAAGTCAAGCGTGGCCAGGGGGCCCATGTTGGGACTAACTACGCGTTGCGTCAGCAGCATATGCAGCGTCGCCATTTGGTGGTGGCCTGGGAAAACCGTGATAAAGATACGGCGGTTCTGCCCGCCCCAGCCCCCGCTCCATCAATCACACCCCTCCGTTACTGCTGCTCCGTCACCCGACGTCAATCGCCCTCCATCAGCCAGTCAAGGCTCCAACACCTCTGCTTGAGGGGGAGTTGTCGCTCGTTGGCATCTTCCGCTCGTTCAGATGCTCCTTCTCCTGCTAACTATCCTCTTCACGGATTCCGTCAGCAGTCTTTTCTTGGAATCCGTTTCCAAGAGACAACAGTTTGCGAGCACGCACACCGACGGTGCAAAAGCTGAACGTCCTCCTGTCCAAGTTGCTGGTGCTGCAGTCCCTCCCTTTCCAAGTGGTGGATCTCTCAGCACCTTTCCGAGAAATGATGGCTTGTGCCACGCGCCGCGGTGGAGAGTGCCAAGCCGTTCATTTCTTCGCACAAAAAGGCAGTGCCTGCCCTGCATTCACATTTATGTAGAAGAGATGGTGGGCCAGTCTTTGAGCATGTCGGTCTCTGCCAAAGTGCACGGCAGCGCCAGACGTGTGGAGCTGTAACTACGGTCAGGGACAGTACATGTCATTTACGGCCCACTGGGGTGAACGTGGTGCAGCCTCACAGCCGCACACCAGCAACTTGGACAGGTCACGCCGCTTTTGCCTCCACGTTTGCACGTCCTTGGTCCAGCAGGCAAAGATGTCCGCCCTCTAACTACCACCTCTTCTTCCTTCGCCGTGTCCTCAGCCGCCACACCCCGTGCCAAGTCCCACATTACCCGACCGGCATATCACATGTGCAGGGCGCAACGGTGTCACGCTGTGCTGCACCTGGTATGTATTGCCTTGGCGAACGTAGTCACACAGGGGAGGAACTTCTGAGTGTAATGAACAGAGAAATCGACAGATGGCTGTCTCCGCGCAAACTGAAAATCGGAACCATGTTGACCGACAACGGAAAAAGAACATGGTGTCTGCTCTGCGTACAAGGAAGGTTGTGCCATGCGCCATGCATGGCTCACGTGTTCAATCTGGTTGTCAAGCGCGGTTCCTAAAATCCACCATCCCACTGCAAGACCATCCTTAAAATGTCACGTAAACTTTGCATGCATTTCAGCCATTCCTACACCGCAAAGCCACACCCTCCTTGAGCTGCAGCGGCAGAACGGAATTCCACAGCATCGCCTGATCTGCGACGTTGCAAACAAGGTGGAATTCAACCCTACACATGTTAGACGCCTTTACGAACAGCGAAAGGCCATCACCGATTTCCTGATGTTACAAGCGGATAAAAGGTACTCCCCTGTGTAACTTCGATGTCAGCCATTGGCAGCTCATGCGTGGACACCTGCCGCTTGCTCAGGCCCTTTGAGGAGGCCACGCTATTTCGTGAGTCGGCAGGACTATGGGGATGAACGACGTCATTCCTCTGTTGCACGTCCTGGAACAAATGCTGTTAACAATGGCTGGTCAGGGTGCGGTTGACGTGGCGCACAGATCTCAACGCCACATGACCCCTGTTACGGGGGGCAGGACAGGAAGAAGAGGAGGAGGTAGAGGAGGACATTTGTGCTCAGGAATTATTGAGTGAAATGGGTGGTTTTTCCACTCAGCGGACAGGAGTGGAGGAGCAGGAGCATCTGGTAGAGGAGAGGAGGAGGAGGAGACAGAGGACCCAGACGCACCGTGGTGGCAGTATGCTGTGGAGATGGAGGCAGGGAGTGTCCCTCGCATTCCTTGGCACAAATGGCCCATAGCATGCCTGCGGTTGCTTGCGTAGCGTAGCGACAGCCGAAATAATAACCATCAGACAGAGGGATGACTTTTGGCTGTCCACCTTGTTGGACCCTCGCTATACCCGTTCAAAAATGGTGGCCTTTTTCACACACCTGCTGAGAGGGAGGCCAAAATAAACGTACTATAAAAAACCACCTATGTAGTCAGTTGGTCTCTGCCTTTCTGCGCCAACGTCCATCCTCAGACACTGTGGGCCCTGTGCGCTCGAGCGTTCCGCTGCCATGGCAGCAGGGGAGGGGTGGGGGTGGTAGGAGCAGTGGCAGCTCCACCAGCAGCGGCTGCCTGCACCTGGTCAGTCTGCAGTCGATGATGAGTAGCTTTCTTCAACCAGCGCAGTGAGGAAACTACTAACCAGCCGCATAGCCGCAGCAGCAGCAGCAGCATCAGGTGGACCTGGCAGCAGGACCTCAAACAACAGGCTTGGGCCTACTTGGACAGCAGCACCCTGCAACCGAGGTAGACAATCCCCCTTGACTACTACTGGCGCAACGAAACTTGACCTTTGGCCCCAACTAGCTGAATTTGCCCTTGAAAGGCTGTCATGCCCGGCCAGTAGCGTGGCATCGGAGCGCGTGTTTAGTGCGGCAGGAGGTATTGTAACTCCCGAGGAGGACACGACTGTCCACCCAAAGTGTGGAGAGACTCACGTTTGTGAAAATGAATCAGGCGCTGTGGATTAGTTTGGATTTCAAAACCACCAGTTCCTGACACAACTGGACTAAATCCGCCATGAATCATGCCTTCAAACATGTGCCACTTTCAGGTCTCCTCACACACTGCTGGTGTGTTCCATTTTTTTGCGCACATAGGGTGCTGGCTGTTTCATTTACAGATTAGGGCCTCCTATATAGCTGCTGCCAGGCCCCCTAATCTGCCATAGGCCCCTCCTATCATGTACCGCCTCCTCATGCTGCTGCCCCAGGTCCAGAGTCTGTCATGGGTCCCTGTACGGCCTCCCATTGCTGCTGTCTCCATCGCCACACTCTGCTGCCATGTGCCACTTTCAGGTCTCCTCACACTGCTGGTGTGTGAATCCATTTTTGACATAGGGTGCTGGCACATTTACGGGCCTCCTATAGCTGCTGCCAGGCCCCTAATCTGCCATGGGCCCCTATATAACGCCTCCTCATGCTGCTGCCAAGTCCAGAGTCTGTCATGGGTCCCTGTACGGCCCCTCCCATTGCTGCTGTCTCCATCGCCACACTCTGCCATGTGCCACTTTCAGGTCTCCTTCACACTGCTGGTGTTTAGTTGAATTTTTTGACATAGGGTGCTGGCAGATTTACGGGCCTCCATAGACTGCTGCTGCCAGGCCCCTAATCTGCCATAGGCCCCTATATAACTACGCTCATCATGCTGCTGCCAGGTCCAGTTCTAGTCTCTCATGGGCCCCTGTACGGCCTCCCATTGCTGTGTCTCCATCGCCACACACTCTCTGCCATGTGCCAACTTTCAGGTCTCTCACACTGCTGGTGTGTTATTTTTTTGACATAGGGTGCTGGCAGATTACGGGCACCTCTCTCCATAGGCTGCTCCCCATGGCCCCTAACCAGAAGAGGGCCCCTAATCTGTCTTGCCATGGGCCCCTATATACGCCTCCTCATGCTGCTGCCAGGTCACAGAGTCTGTCATGGGTCCCTGTACGGCCACCTCTGGCCTTGCTGTGTCTCATTTACATTCCCACACTCTGCCATGTGCCACTTTCAGGTCTCACTCACTACTGGTGGGTATGATTTTTTTGACATAGGGTGCTGGCAGATTACGGGCATCCTATAGCTGCTGCCAGGCCCCTAATCTGCCATGGCACTATATACCGCCTCCTCATGCTGCTGCCAGGTCCGAGAGTCTCAATCATGGGTCCCTGTACGGCCTCCCATTGCTGCTGTGTCTCCATCGCCACACTCTGCCATGTGCCACTTTCAGGTCTCCTCACACACTGGTGTGTTGTGTTTGAATTTTTTTTGACATAGGGTGCTGGCAGATTACGGGGCCTTCCCATAGCTGCTGCCAGCCCTAAATCTGCCATGGGCCCCTATATACCGCCTCTCATGCATGGCTGCCAGGTCCCAGAGTCTGTCATGGGTCCCCTGCGTTTACAGGCCTCCCATTTGCTGCATACGTGTCTCCATCGCCATTCTGCCATGTGCCACTTTCAGGTCTGCTCTCACACAATGCTGGTGTGTGAATTTTTTGTGACATAGGGTGCTGGCAGATTAGTGGCCTCGGGCCGCTCCTAGCTGCTGCCTGGCCCCTAATCTATCTGCCATAGGTCCCTATATACCGCCTCCTCATGCTGCTGCCAGGTCCAGAGTGTCTTTCATGGGTCCCTGTTACGGCCTTCCATTGCATTGCTGCTGTCTCCATCGCCACACTCTGCCATGTGCCACTTTCAGGGTCTCCTCACACACTGCTGGTGTGTTGAATTTTTTTGACATAGGGTGCTGGCATGAGATTACGGGCCTCCCATAGCTGCTGCCAGGAGTGCCCCTAATGCTGCCATGGGGCCCCTATATACCGCCTCCTCATGCTGCTGCCAAGTCCAGAGTCTCTCCATGGGTCCCTGTACGGCCTCCCATTGCTGCTGTCTCACATCGCCACACTCTCTGCCATGTGCCACTTTCAGGTCTCCTCACACTGCTGGTGTGTTGTTTTTTTTGACATAGGGTGCTGGCAGATTACGGGCCTCCTATAGCTGCTGCCAGGCCCCTAATCTGCCATAGGCCCCTATATAGCCTCCGCCTCCATCATGCTGCTTGCCAGTCCAGAGTCTGTCATGGGTCCCTGTACGGCCTCCATTGCTGCTGTCTCCATCGCCACACTTCCTGCCATGTGCCACTTTCAGGTCTCCTCACACACACTGCTGGTGTGTTCAGAATTTTTTTGACATAGGGTGCTGGCAGATTACGGGCCTCCCACAATAGCTGCTGCCAGGCCCCTAATCTGCCTTGCCATGGGCCCCCTATATACGCCTCCTCATGGCTGCTCCATGCTGCTGCCATAGTCCAGAGTCTCTCATGCGGTCCCTGTACGGGCCTCCCATTGCTGCTGTCTCCATCGCCACACAGATCTGCCATGTGCCACTTTCAGGTCTTCCTCAGACACACTGCTGGTGTGTTGAATTTTTGTCAAAAACATGGGGTGCTGGCAGTGAAACATTTGGGCACGATGCTATGGCCTGCCTAGCATAGTTGCTGCCAGGCCCCTAATCTGCCATGGGCCCCCACTATATACCGCCTCCTGAATGCTGCTGCCAGGTCCAGAGTCTCTCATGGGTCCCTGTACGGCCCTCCGCATTGCTGCTGTCTCCATCGCCACACTCTGCCATGTGCCACTTTCAGGTCTCCTCACACTGCTGGTGTGTTGAATTTTTTGACATTAGGGTGCTGGCAGATTACGGGCCTCCCATAGCTGCTGCCAGGCCCCACTAATCTGCCATGGGCCCCTATATACCGCACTCCTCATGCTGCTGCCAGGTCCAGAGTCTCTCATGGGTCCCTGTACGGCCTCCCATTGCTGCTGTCTCCATCGCCACACTCTGCCATGTGCCACTTTCAGTGGTCTCCACACACTGCTGGTTTGGTGATCACATTTTTTGACATAGGGAATGGCTGGCAGATTACGGGCCTCCCATAGCTGCTGCCAGGCCCCTAATCTGCCATGGGCCCCTATATACTGCCTCCTCTCATGCTGCTGCCCCAGTCCAGAGTCTCTCATGGGTCCCTGTACGGGCCTCCCATTGCTGCTGTCTCCATCGCCACACTCTGCCATGTGCCACTTTCAGGTCTCCTCACACTGCTGGTGTGTTGATTGTGAATTTTTTGACATAGGGTGCTGGCAGATTACGGGCCTCAGCCATAGCTGCTGCCAGGCCCCTAATCTGCCATGGGCCCCTATATACCGCACTCCTCATGCTGCTGCCAGGTCCAGAGTCTCTTCATGGGTCCAGTCCTGTACGGTCCTCCCATTGCTGCTGTCTCCATCGCCACACTCTGCCAATGTGCCCACTTTCAGGTCTCCTCACAACTGCTGGTGTGTGGGAATTTTTTGACATAGGGTGCTGGCAGATTACGGGCCTCCCCATAGCTGCTGCCAGGCCCCTAATCTGCCATGGGCCCCCACCTATACCCGCCTCCTCATGCTGCTGCCAGGTCCAGAGTCTTTCATGGGTCATGGGTCCCTGTACGGCCTCCCATACTGGCTGCCTATTCTGCTGTCTCCATCGCCACACTCTGCCATGTGCCACTTTCAGGTCTCCTCACACATGCTGAGTTGCTGTGTGTTCCAATTTTTTGACATAGGGTGCTGGCAGATTACGGGCCTCCTATAGCTGCTGCCAGGCCCCTAATCTGCCATGGGCCCCTATATACCGCCTCCTCATGCTGCTCTCAGTCTGTCATGTCAGACTGCATCTCATGGGGCCTGTACGGCCTCCCATTGCTGCTGCCTGTCTCCATCGCCACACTCTGCCATGTGCCACTTTCAGGTCTCCTCAACACACTGCTGTGTGTGTTGAATTTTTTGACATAGGGTGCTGGCAGATTACGGGGCCTCCCATAGCTGCTGCCAGGCCCCCTAATCTGCCATAGGCCCCTATATACCCGCCTCCTCATGCTGCTGCCAAGTCCAGAGTCTGTCATGGGTCCCTGTGTACGGCGGCCTCCCACCATTGCTGCTGTTCTCCATCGCCACACTCTGCCATGTGCCACTTTCAGGTCTCCTCACACACTGCTGGTGTGTTTAAGAATTTTTTGACATAGGGGGTGCTGGCAGATTACGGGCCTCCCATAGCTGCTGCCAGGCCCTAATCTGCCATAGGCCCTATATACCGCCTCCTCATGCTGCTGCCAGGTCCAGAGTCTGTCATCATGGGTCCCTGTACGGCCTCCCCATTGCTGCTGTCTTCCATCGCCCACACTCTCTGCCATGTGCCACTTTCAGGTCTGCTCACACACTGCTGAGTGTGTGTCATTTTTTGACATAGGGTGCTGGCAGATTACGGGCCTCCCTATAGCTGCTGCCAGGCCCCCTAATCTGCCATGGGCCCCTATATACCGCCTCCTCATGCTGCTGCCAAGTCCAGAGTCTCTCATGGGTCCCTGTACGGCCTCCCCATTGCTGCTGTCTCCATCGCCACACTCTGCCATGTGCCACTTTCAGGTCTCCTCACACTGCTGGTGGTGTGCTTGAATTTTTTGACATAGGGTGCTGGCAGATTACGGGCCTCCCTATAGCTGCTGCCAGGCCCCTAATCTGCCATAGGGCCCTATATACCCACTCTTCCATCCTGCTGCTGCCAGGTTCAGGTAGAGTCTCATGGTGTCCTGTACGGGCCTCCCATTGCTGCTGTCTCCATCGCCACACTCTGCCATGTGCCACTTTCAGGTCTCCTCACACACTGCTGGTGTGTTGAATTTTTTGACATAGGGTGCTGGCAGATTACGGGCCTCCATAGCTGCTGCCAGGCCCCTAATCTGCCATGGGCCCCTACTATACCGCCTCCTCATGCTGCTGCCAAGTGCCAGAGTCGTCTGTCATGGGTCCCTGTACGGCCTCCCATTGCTGCTGTCTCCATCGCCACACTCTGCCATGTGCCACTTTCAGGTCTCCTCCATCACACTGCTGGTGTGTTGAATTTTTTGACATAGGGTGCTGGCAGATTACGGGCCTCCATAGCTGCTGCCAGGCCCCTAATCTGCCATATGGGCCCCTATATACCGCCTCCTCATGCTGCTGCCAGTCCAGAGTCTGTCATGGGTCCTGTACGGCCTCCCATTTGCTGCTGTCTCCATCGCCACACTCTGCCATGTGCCACTTTCAGGTCTCCTCACACACTGCTGGTGTGTTGAGCGTTCATTTTTTTGACATAGGGTGCTGGCAGATTACGGGCTCTCCTATAGCTGCTGCCAGGCCCCTAATCTGCCATGGGCCCCCTATATACCGCCTCCTCATGCTGCTGCCAAGGTCCAGAGTCTGTCATGGGTCCCTGTACGGCCTCCCATTGCTGCTGTCTCCATCGCCACACTCTGCCATGTGCCACTTTCAGGTCTCCTCACACACTGCTGGTGTGTTGAATTTTTGACATAGGGTGTGCTGGCAGATTACGGGCCTCCCCTATAGCTGCTGCCAGGCCCCTAATCTGCCATGGGCCCCTATATACCGCCTCCTCATGCTGCTGCCAAGTCCAGAGTCTGTCATGGGTCCCTGTACGGCCTCCATGTGCTGCTGTCTCCATCGCACTCTGCCATGTGCCACTTTTCAGGTCTCCTCACACTGCTGGTGTGTTTGAATTTTTTGACATAGGGTGCTGGCAGATTACGGGCCTCCTATAGCTGCTGCAGGCCCCTAATCTGCCATGGGCCCTATATATTGGGTCCCTGCCAGCCTCATGCTGCTGCCTGCCAAGTCCAGAGTCTCCTCATGGGTCCCTGTACATAGGGGTGCCTCCACTATTGCTGCTGCCAGTCTCCATCTGCCATGGGGCCCCATGTACCACTCATGCTGCTGCCAGTGCCACTTTCAGGTCTCCACGGGCCACACTCTGCCATGGCCACTTTCAGGTCTCCTCACACTGCTGGTTTGTGTTGAATTTTTTGACATAGGGTGCTGGCAGATTACGGGCCTCCTATAGCTGCTGCCAGGCCCCTAATCTGCCATGGGCCCCTATATACCGCCTCCTCATGCTGCTGCCAAGTCCAGAGTCTGTCATGGGTCCCCTGTACGGCCCTCCCATTGCTGCTGTCTCCATCGCCACACTCTGCCATGTGCCACTTTCAGGTCTCCTCACACACTGCTGGTGTGTTGAATTTTTTGACATAGGGTGCTGGCAGATTACGGGCCTCCCATTGCTGCTGCCAGGCCCGTAATCTGCCATGGGCCCCCTATACCGACTCCTCATGCTGTGACGTTGCAACAAGGTGGAATTCAACCCTACATATGTTAGACCGCCTTTACGAACAGCAAAAGGCCATCACAGATTTCCTGATGTTAAAAGCGGATAAAGGTACTCCCTGTGTAACTTAGATGTCAGCCATTGGCAGCTCATGCGTGACACCTGCGCTTGCTCAGGCCCTTGAGGAGGCCACGCTATTCGTGAGTCGGCAGGAC